TGCCTGGTTTTCAAACATCTCTAACTAATATTTTTACATTATTGCTCTAAGATTCCAACTGGCATGCTTTGTCAATCCTCCTATATCCCCCTCTCTCACTCAAACAACCGTGCGCTCTCGTCACCCGTAGTGTCTCGACTTACCTTCGTTAATCTTTAACAATACAGATAAAATTCCCTCTTCATGTCTGTGGACTTTGCGATCCATTCATGAAAGTAAAGAAAATCCATTGGAAAATTAGGCACCTTATCAATACCATTTATGTGCATTGATGAAAACTTGAAACATACAAAGAAGTGTAACATTTGTTTGCTATATTGTTTTACTTGTATGTTTTTATAACTTTGAGCATGTTGATCTATCAAAAAGGCTCAACCCCTGTGGCATTATCGTTCGTTGGACATTTAACCTTTCTACTAAAAAAATAACATATCAAGTAAAATTGATAGTATGAGTTATCTGTATTTTAGACGTCATGAGATTGTACATCAATTGTCAGTTGATATAATATTATGTCCTTTTTTATTAGGAGGGGTGAGAGGGGAAACAAATATATAGATTTAACTCTTTTTCCACATGCCAATATGTGTGGGTGAAGCCATTGCCAATGGCCGTATATCATGTGCAAGGGAAGGGAACACAGTGTGGTTGCAATCTGTAAAATGGAAAAATAAAAATAAAAATAAAAGCACCATCAGAAATAGCACGTTGTGGGGTTTCCTGACCATCAAGGAATTTACTTCAGTCAGCAATTTACATATTAGAGTCCAATCAGGGTGGGGTAACCCCCATAACTTTGCTATACAATTGATTTGCCTCCATCACAGCAAAGCTTCTTCTTTAAAAGTTTTCCGACAAAGATATATCTGAAACAAAATTCTTCATAAAATTTTACAAAATACTTTAAGAAAATTATTCTAACAAATTCAGAAGCAACATTTGACTTTTCAAATGCCTTATCAAATGGGCCCTTAACAGGTTAGATAATTATCATTGTGTGGAAATCGTGACTGAAGTGTTACTATCTTTTAAAGTTTTTCCCTTTTTTTCTCCCTCTGAAACAATTGTAGCGTGAAAAACATATATGCATATTTATTTATTTTTCTTTATAAATGATTGATGTAAAATGAATATGTAGTTAATTTCGGTTGTTTTGACTTGTATAAAAATATAAATTTCTTTAGGGACATTTTAACCTTAGATTTTGATGACTTTGAAGGGTCAACTTAACTTTAAATGACAGTAAAAGTCGATGTTAATACACTCTTAATTGTGTTTAGCAAAATTATATTTTTGAGTTAAAAAAACCTTAAAATATGTTAGGCCCACTTGGTACCTATTTTTGTAAGAATAAGAATGAAATTATAGTCGTTATGAGACCCACATAAGATATAGAAAGTCAAATACGATGACTTGATGTGATGAATAACGATCATTTTTTTTTATTTTTGTGATCAAAGAATGAAAATCAAACGGGGACTAAATTTGACTGCATGCAAAACGTAAATTTATACAGTTTTAGTTGGGCAAAAAAAAAAAAAAAAACTACCGGAAAAACATACATACATTATTCGTCCACTAATATTCCATTTTGTTGCAACAAGGGCATTTTGGCCAATCTATCAAGAAAATGAGAGATATAACTCATTTATATTCTCATTTTCTTTATCTTTTAGCATTTTTTGTTGAAATATTATTTTTCTATTAATAAATGCTTTATTGAATTTATATAAAAAATTGCATTAAATGATCTCCACGAAATTTAACTCAACTGTTAGTTATTATCACCCAATTTTAACTGGTACACTATTACAAGGTTAAAGTACAACAATAATAGTTACATTTTTATGAACAATTTTGTCAGAATTAGCCCCCGTTTGAGCCCCATTTTCTTGGAGATTATAATGTTTTGAATAGTATTTTTTTGAAAAATGAGTGGTTGAAAAGAAAAGAAAAGATTTTGATTTACGTGTAATATTATTTTACTGAAAATTGTGTGGTTAAAAGTAGGAGAGAGAAAAATTTAATTTAATATAATGGGGAATAATGGGGCTCAAACGGGGGTTTAATCTATTTGTACAATTTGATTGACAAGGGCCGACAGCCGCCCCTCCATTAAGGGGTCGCCACTTGACTTCTTTGTCAACCAAATTGTACAAAAAGTTGTACTTCTAACATGGTTGATTTTGTCAACTCTACTTCAATTTCACAGTTTTAAACCCGTGTTTGAGCTCCATTTTAAAATAAAGAATGCATTTTCAAATAATAATTGACGGAGAATGTATNAAATATTTACTTATGCTACTGTTCGAGTCCCATTCTATAAAAAAAAAAAAAAAAATTTCAATCTATTTTCTTAATAAAATAATTTTATATTTAAATTAAATTTTTTTTTTTCAAAAATTACTATTTCAGTCCAAAAAATTAAACTCAAGCAACTGAAGCAAGCCTTATAACATTTGACTCGTCCGTGCGATCTATTGGAATGCAAAAAGAAAAACTCAAAACAAAATTATTACTAATAGAGACAACCTTGTGAGAGCTGTAAATGTCCTCACCTACGACAAAAGACAGAAAGATTCAATTTACCAAAATAACCCTATCAGCTGCCTCCAAGCACCACCGCTTCAAGGTGGGGCCCGTCACCCCGCTACCCCCACTTCTTCACTCTCCCTATTTCTTGATCCATCTACCAAGTACCAATCTGTTTTCCTTATTCATTACGCGTTGAATTTTCTTTTCTCTATGTCTCAAGGAAAATAAATACATACATTATACATTTTTTTGTCCTTGTCGATCCATTCTTCAACGCCGTGGCAAGTGATTCTCTGATCCACACCCCACAGCACAGATTAGAGAGAAATAATTGATAGAGAGAGACCCTTTACCATAAACAGGGTTTCTCTCTGGAAAAAGAATCAGAAAAACTACACACCAATTACCCACATTTTTCTTTTCTTTACAACTCTTTGTAATGTTATATATTATTTTATGGGTCTGTTAATGTATCGATTTCAGTGATTGTTTAATGTGAAGGGGAGGTGTTTAAGAAGACAAGAAACCGAAAGTGGCCGTTCATTTCTTTCTTTCTTTGACGTGAGCAAATGGGCCTTGAGTCCTTTTTATTTTTGCTCTCTTCTTCTTGATTGTGAAGAAGCTGTAATTGTGTGTCTCTGTGTGTGTGAGTGAGTGAAAGGGACAGAGTTTTAAGGTTTTTGTTTTGAAGATGGATACTAAAGGGAGGCTTGTTGCTGGTTCACACAACAGGAATGAGTTTGTACTCATCAATGCTGATGAGATTGGAAGAGTAAGTGGGTTCAAGAATTATTCTTTTTCACGTTTTTGCAGTTTCAGCTCTCAAATTGGTTGGAACTTACAGTCAAAGCTCCATTTGAGTGAAAATTCGCTTGTTTTGAATTTCTCTACTAGATGCATTTCTTATTTCGAGTCAAATTGTGTTTTTAGGGTTTCATAAATATGATTTCTACTTTAATTTTTTATTGGTTTAAGTCTTCTTAGCTTGATTTCTGGCTGGAATCTCAGATTCGACCCCAAAATTTCATCTTTCTATCTTGAATCCTAGCCCATGATTCTAGATTTTAGTAAATGAATAAGTAGTTTTTCTTGATCTTACAATTGTAAAAAATTTAGTTGATTTCTTTCTCTAGTTAAATTTTTGTAAATCTGTAAGTGCTAATGCATTTTTTACTTGTTGGAAAGTTGAAATTTCTTGATCTGATGGCAGGTGACTTCCGTGAAAGAGTTGAGTGGGCAGATTTGTCAGATTTGTGGAGATGAGATTGAAATTACTGTGGATGGGGAGCCTTTTGTTGCCTGCAATGAATGTGCCTTCCCTGTTTGTAGACCATGCTACGAGTATGAAAGAAGAGAGGGTAATCAAGCTTGTCCTCAGTGCAAAACCAGATACAAGCGCATAAAAGGTAATTCATTGATGCTTTTTCTCATTTACTCATTTTTACTCAAGTCACTCTTCAATGACTTCTGTGTTTGGTAACAGTATAATTAAACGACTTAATCTTCCTTTTTAGGGAGTCCTAGAGTGGATGGAGATGAAGACGAGGATGAATTTGATGACTTGGAGAATGAATTTGATTACAATGGCAATGAGAGAAATCCTCATCAGATTGCTGAAGCAGCATACTCAACTCGCCCTAATATTGGTCGAAGTGCTTCTGGAATTACAAATCCATCCGAGTTGGATTCAGCAGCCATTGGCTCTGAAATCCCTCTTCTTACTTATGGTCAAGAGGTAGATTGAGGCTTAACTATTTTTGATCATTTTTTGAATGC